TACTGGACAAACAGGTTTACAACACATTACATCACATCCGCTCAGTACCTTACTCGCATTTACGCGTGCTATTTCCGCGCGCGCGCTAAAAGTTTTGCCGCAATGCGTGACGTACAAAATTACACGGAAGGCTGATTTCCGTTACATACGAACGCGTATAGCTAAATACCACAAATATATTAAAAGTAATAATGACAAATAATGACACTACTACATGAATTTGTCAGGTTCGTCTGGTCGAGGGGAAATTATTTCTGACACTGAAACATGCAAACCAATATCTTGCCTACTCTCCCAATGAGAACAATCAATGAGGTAACAGAACTACATGACATAACACCACAAAGACTCACCAGTCGGACACTTCACTTATAGAGTACTGTGCAAACGGAATTAACGCGTACAAAAAATATACATCAATGAGGTTATAATACATTCGATACTTTACGAACTAGCACAACTAAGGCATTTACTTACAACATATGCCCCTGATACACTGTAGTAAACATTATTAATTGTATACCTTAGTTAAGTTCGTATATGCAGTGACTTCCCCTTAATTTCGTTTTGGCTTTAACGATAGCAGATTTGGAGCAGGACGCTTCCGTTGACTAGGTAGCTTAGATGGTTTGAGCGATTTTAAAATAATTTGAAGTGCTGTGTTCGAATTCCTATGAAGCTCCGATGGATTTTTACACTCAAAACGCTGTTGTTATTCATTAAATTTTGTTTATTTTACTCTATACCAATTTTGATAAAGGACCCGAAAGGTACGGTTTTCTTAACAGATTTTTTTTTAGCAAAGCTTTATTAATGCTGGTAGCCCGTTTCCGATCATCCTCGATATCCAGGGGTTACGCTCACTTTCGCTCTCTACACCCCAGGAATATGTCATGGCAAATTTGTAGGCTCGGTGTGCGCCACCTTGTTGATGAGACAAGAAGACTAGTTCGATCCGTTGATGTACATCAAAAGAATCTCGCGGTCATGTAACGGTAAAAATTGACAGGCTTTTAAGTTGGGCGTCTCTCCTTTGTAATCTTCAAAGGAGACATATCAGCCTAGCGATTGGTCAGTTGTTTTTTACCTGAGACCAATCAAACAGCTATCCTCGTGCCTTCAATTTTGCCATGGCATATTCCAGGGGTGTAGAGAGCGAAAGTGAGCGTAACCATGGATATCGAGGATGGTTTCCTAGACATAGTTTCAGTGTTTTGGCAGTGGCATGGGGATCCTCATGTTGTGTTCTGTTCAGGATGAACTTACTTTTAAAAGTAAGCATTTACGTAGTAAATAATTGTTTCCCACGACACTGACTTCAGACATTTTTGAAACGTGACTTGTCTGAAAGAGATGTATATACCTAATGAAATTAAAATAAAAGCAAACAGGTTTAATGCGTTTATGAAGAAATTCCACCGATGACAATAGAAGAGTAAGTCCATGAGTTCATGCAAGTCTGAGGCTTGAAACTCCAGACCTGGGTTTAATGGAAACCATGTCTTTTTATAGCTGTGTTCATGGTTACAAATCATACGAGACGAAACGAAAATATCGGGGTAATACACCCCGACGTTAATTGATTTTCTAAGAGGTTACTATTTAAGGTTATATAAAACTGGTACATATACATTTAGAAAGTATGTCCATATACGAACGACACTGATTCCAGACCGACGTCAAGCTTAATTTTCCTTACATCGTAGGGAAAATATACTACTTCTTTGTGTCACATGATGGTCGATGTAAGTTGATAATGCTTATTGTGTGCTTCGGGGTTTTGTTGTCACTACCCAAGTTCTCCATGTGACGACGTGCCATTGACTTGACATATGTTTACAAGGCTAGTGTTGTCGATGTATGTTTACAAGGCTAGTGTTGTCGATGAAGAAGACAACGCTTACCCTTCCGGGTCACCTGGTCGGATTTTTTTGATACTGTTACAATCGTATCCGCGTAAAGCTCTCCTTTGCTCACATTTTGCCCGAGTTTTATCGATTTTGAGTTCGAATTACGGGTTGTTGACACTTCGGCATTATCCTGCTGTTCTTGAACGTTTGCAATTATGCTGATGATAAAATCTCACAGAAATAGGGAAAATATGTTAGCACTATAATGTGAATACCACAATAACAAACATCGGTAAAATATCAACACTCGAGAAACTAAAGCAGTTACCATGGAGATGGAATTATCATCCGTGCTTTGTATTCCATTATATGAGATATTTTAGCCTTAGAGGAAAGGAAGCAGTCTAAATATAGTCAGATTCCTACAGAAAATTCCAATTCATGTTTTGAACCGATTGAAAACAATGATACATATTTTATCTTTGCTACACCCAAATATAAAACATGCTGTGTCTTGGCAAAACGAATTATTTTCTTGTATATTTCGGGACGCCAGTCTGCAGCATTCTGCGTCTATAGAGACAGTGTTCGTAGTTTAATTGACGTATTTCCGTATGTACCCTGTTCTCTGCCCTTCCTGTTCTAAAGTTATGGAAGTATGATTAAAACGTCTTCCCACATTAAGATATATTTATTTTGATATACATATTCCTTTTACTGTAAGGTCCTGCTGGGTGAATGTTTCGTTTATTAAATCAGTGCAGTAGAAACCGTCAATTTTGAAATATCCATACCATGAAGTCTCTTATATTAAAATGTAAATGTCAATGGCGTCTATTTTTTGGCGGAAGAACAGGTAGGTAATTCGATAGTGAGAAGTCCCTTCAGAAATAATATTTCAAACTGCAAAGTCCCTCCAACTCAAATATAAAAACATTAATTTAAGTGTATTTGTAAAGTTTTAAGATTAATATTAATTTTGTTTCTCCATAAAAGTGTTTTGATTAAAAATTCATGAAGTCATGTGAGTTCAACATTTCTATTATTTTATTGTTGAAGGCGTGAATATGTACTTAAAATGACTTGGTGTAAAATCAGATGTTATTTCATAGAGGCATTATCACAACCATTCTTCAAAACATGTTTTCAAATGTACAATGGTGCAGACTGTATCTTGATAAATTATCAAGTTTCAATTAATATGGTATTTTATGTTACTTTTATTACGTCATGGACGTTAGCTCTTCTCTAGAATTGACAAAGTGATATTTAGAACCAACAGATATGTATTTCATAATACCACAAAATTACTAACAGTTTAAAAAATATATATATATTTCTTAAGGTCACTCATTAAGAAACATGTGAAGCAGACAGTTATAAAATTGTTGTATATTTATGTATTGTTCATTCTTCAAGTGTAACGATATTAACATTTTAGCATAGACTCAAAAATAAATATTGAACAGAGAACCCCTACCTTGGAATTATACTCTTAGCAGCATCGAATATAACCTGCGTCAGAGAAATTGTATAAAAGAATCATATAGACACATTAGAACAAAGAGGATTATTTTACAGAAAAAGAAGGATGTTTTGCTGTTTACATAGGAAATTCGTTAATAAGACATTCAAACAGATTCGACGTTTGATCTATTTGCACCAGTACACACATTTTCAGATAATGATTATTTTGTTTCTTTTTACAAATAATGTGGATAATTTAGCATAAGATACTGTAGCAAAGTTATACTCCATCTTTATTTCCCGGCTGACGTAAACTTCCAGCCCACCAACATTGTATTTCACAATCTATGCGTAAATATACAATTGTATTAGGGTTCAATGAGTCATCAAAGCTATTTACCCTAGACTGACCACTGTCTGTATAACAAATAGGGATGTTTACGTCACGAGGAGGGGGACATAGTAGCCTCTTGCTAATGCAGCAGTCCCATCTTCTCATCCGAAAACCCTGGCCGCTGGAGCTAAAGTTGATTGGTCAGTTATATAAATTAGTCAATAGGTGTTACTGAGAGTCTTATAAAAAGAGGTGCTATTCGGCGAAATGTCTCTTATGATTTTTGACAACTGACTTTACTGACTCAGCACACTGTGGTTTAGTTTTTTCAGCAGGTTAGAATTGAGACCCCGGTCATCTAAACTCTTAACTTGTTACAGATTACAGACATTGTCTAAAGCTTGTTAGTAAGTTTTCAATTACTGTTTATGTTCAAAACAAACTTAGCCTTTATGTTTATGCCAAACTGACAAATCTTGATGTTAATATTTGATTTATCGCAACGGAATTGCTTACCAATCTGGCCTCGTAACTCATTTTTTTTAAATCTCACATCAAGTAATTATAAGGCCTTGATAAACTTAGGAACGCCCTGTCAAATCGAGCCACTGGCTCATTCACTAGTCTCAAATATATATATATATATATTAGCACATGTATATACAAGGCAGGTATAGTTTAGTTAATTATTCGTCACGCACATAATTATGGTGGCAGCGGTACTAGTACTCGCATTACAGAGTTACAGACTGTGATTGACCAACCACTTAACGACCAGGGACGCACAACTGACATATATAACGCATTCACACAAACAGTCTGGACTTCGAGGTCAAGGTCAGGGCCCTGATCGATAGGGGGGAAACGTCACAATACGTATTGCCCTTCAAAGCTGCAGCGTGACACATAGCACATTACCCCTACCCTGATATGTAACACCAGTGCAAGTCCCCTTCTTTAAAAGTTCCGTATCCCCCATCTCCTGAACTCGTTTCAAACACTAGTCTGATGCAGGACGAATAGCACTTTTTTAAACCTTGAAATCCGATAGATTATAATTTGAGACCTCATTTATATCCTCGATGTCACAGCCGATCACCTTTAAGTAGTGTCCACTGGGAAAAATAAAAGATAAAAAAAAGGAATTATTACTGATCTGTGTGGATCACACTATAGAATTAACATTACGTTTCCACCAATGTTAACTACATGTATGTTTTAAACCATTTCCTGTTAAACTGTTAGATATTCGGTTTATTTGACCATCAAATATAAACATTTTTTAAAATATATCACTAATATATAAATAAAAAATAACCAGTTCAATGACAGGTTACCTCTCTTTGACGTCAGTGATATGGTAAATATTTTGATCGTCTTCGGGTTCCCGGATTTTAATTCAGATGAAAATAAACCGAAAATGAGAATCCCGCGAAATATAACCCCTATACATGCAGTATTTGAAGTCACAGTGTTGTGAAATAAGATTTGAATAGTCCGGAAGTTAAAAGCTTGCAACAATATACCCAAAAACCTAAGGAGAAACGTAGAACTTATATTTAAATTCCTGAAAGTTCGATCCCCTCACGATTTCAAAACTAAATTAACAAAACAAATAAATCTTGTTTTTGCTGAAGATGACCTGCGAAAACAAGCAAATTTCAAACATATTTCAAAAGTTGCATTCAATAACATTCTGACGTAGAAACGATGTTTAAATACATGCGTCATGTTAGAAACTGAACAGCTAATTGAAATAAATATGAGGTTTCTATACTTACAAGCACATAGCACTTCACAACAAGCTATGACATAACACAGTAAAACACGCTTATTTTCGGTATTAGACTTTTAGAAATATGCAAAATACAAATCAATCTTCATGAGTCTCTGTTTTGCTATATCATGCAAATAATCAGAAATGTGATGTAGGAATGTCATTATTTTATTTGGATTTTGAAGCTTTATAATTTGTTGACCATGATCTTATCAAGGAACCTATAGACAGAATTGTTTTTTTCTAATTGGTAGACTCTGAAGTGTAGCTTTTGAAAAATTATAAGATTTCATAAAATCAAATATCTGATAGCTACAATATTTATGCGTGCTTAACTACCATCTTATAATTTCAGAACAGTAATCAGAAATGAACACGGACAATAAAGGATACCCGTACGTACGACTGTTCAAGACTGCAGTTAGGCATTGACAACTGCTCTCTCTGACATGACTGTAGCTTTGATAAAATATTTCACAAAAGTAAATTATTACTTGTCCCGTCTATGAAAAGAATAAGGAAGGAAAAACACTAAACAATATGAAACTTCAACGAGGCCAAACCGGAATTTAAACCCTGGACACCAGATTGTTATATTATCTTTCTTTGTATAAACTGTACAATTCATCATCATTAATAGTATTTTTCTATGCTTAAAAAGCTTACCAGCTTATATATTTGAACCTTTCGCTTACAATTGCAAAGCTGGTCTGGCACGTTTATAACAGATTTTTGCAAATGACAAATATGAGTGTCGTCCAGACAAATAAAATGAATACATTTTAGAAGGATTAAGTTACCAATGTATTGATATTTTTAACAGAATCTTAATAGTGACCTTTATACTTGTTAACCTTCCTATCGGGGGAAAAGGCGTGCTCAAAATAAAAAATAAAATAAAAATGAGTTTGTATATCACCTAGGGACAAACTAACATTTTAAAATGGCATCTTTTGAATTATTAGAATTTATGAATAATTTAACAAATACAATTGGTTTGAAATGTTCAATTTTAGGGTTTAAAATCTAGAGTCTCCCTCGCAAATAGGGAGAATTGGCAAGTGTGTTGTCACTGTAACCATAATAGATATGTTTTGCATCCGGCTTCGGAAAATTCTACCCTAATACATATGAGGATATGAGGTATCTCTGTTTGTTTTAATTACCGTGCGTACATTTGAAAACTGGGAAAAGTAATAGTGTACAAACTTTTTGACAAATTAACGCCTTCTACTCTGTTTAGTAGAGGCGTACTTAATAAATAAAAAGCAAAGCATCTGAAAGAAAACCTTGTTGTGTAAGCCAGGCATACAATAGCCTATGTACGGTGACACAATATATAGTTACATACATTTCGTTGCACACATGTAACCTGTGTCAAAGTCGTGGCTGGAGAGGACGGTGACGGACCCTCTGATAGAGCATCGAAACGCGACGAGTCGGTAATACACATTTTGGCAAGCCATTTATAGACCTGGATTGTGAAATGCAGCCCGATATCAACTTAAATATCATAACACCTACTTGCATTTTGCAGCTCCAAACCGAGGTATACACGGTTCTATGTAAAAAGAACGCCTACCTCAATGAGTAATTTAACAAATGATGATCAATTGTTATGATCAATTTCGAAAGCAAAAACCAATATAAAAAAATGTGTCAAAAAACTATATAACTTTTGTTTGCATCACTTTTTTTTTATTACATTTTTGAAAAGAAATAAATCAGCAGTTATTTTGAAAATTCCACAAAAACTTGAATGTCTTGCGCTCCGCGTTATGCCATTTTTGAATCCCTTTTTTTTACACTAGATGAATCACTTAAAGTGTCATTTTAGCAAGTTGATGTTTGCTGTACAAGTTTTACTGTTCAATATTACGAAAATGATTGATAACAAAGTTAAAAAAAATAGACGATATTGATATTTTACTGAAGCCCTTTTGCGTTTTAATCCCAAAAGTTGAAAAATAATAAAAAATAATATGGCAAAAAAGAGTACCGACCCTCATTTGATTGGTTGTTTTAAGAAAATTAACAAATTTTATTTCAACCCTGTGAATATTTATACAAATCAATTATCAAAGCTGTTGCTATTTTGATCGTTTAATAACTAAAAAGTGGTGAAAATGAAGATTTCTAGAATTGAAAATTTGGGTAGGGGTTTCTAGATTGCTATTCTGCGGTGATGATAAAAATAATATGAATCTTTTCTGCATGCGATCATCATAAACTACAAATAACTCATATCACGTAAAATTTGTATCTTTGACCCACCCTAGCGAAAAAGTTCTTTTTTCAATCTTTGTCATGTACTCCTTATTGTAATTAGGTACATGTATGGGACAAAAAAATCAGTAGAAAAAAGAAGACTTTTCACAAAAGCAGATCCGCAAAACTGAAAGGATGCGTGCAGAAATGTGCCCATAAGTTGTTATTTATTTGTACTTACATTCTATGAATCCCAAACAAACCGAGCAGGACCTGATGTAATAAGAACAAGTGATAATATCACAATGACTGAAGATTTGGTTTTTTTGATCTGTTAGAATATACACAAAAGTGTTTGTAAACAGAATTCAGTCCCTAAAATTGCTGATGATATGTGGAGAATCCTCACTTCAGGGTTGCATAAGGTTTTTGTTTGTGGTTGGTCATATTAGATTAGGTATCCTATTGTTATTGGATAGATTCAGTGAGATACTGGTTTGTGATTGACCTAATATATTACGTTAGGTACTCTGTTGTGATTGGTCAGACTGAGTGGCTTCTTGACAAGTTTACTAGTATTGATATGCAGCTTCACACAAATGTTAAACTTCTAGCAACGTTGTACATGTTGTATCAAACAGTTGCTACATAAGATGTTATTTGTGCAATATTTGTTGCACAACAAATTTAAACATCTCGCATGCGAACAAACAAAACATCTGACAGTAAACATGTAAGTAATAATATATTCTTATATCATAAGGCAACAGCATACGCATTTGGCAACATCAGATGACAAAGACAACACCAAACTAAGTCATTATTCAATAGAGCTTCACTCATGAGAAGTTTTGTCAATGGTTTTCGATAAAAGGGGAAGAATTACAATGATATAAATGATGACAAATATAAACAGTTATTTCTTCATTACAACCATTGTATTACTGTACACTGATTGATAAAGTTTTGACATGAGTTCCAATCACGATTTATGATATGATTTTCAAGGAATATAGATAAAGCAAGAAGGACTTGAAGTGAGTTGGTATTACTTCTTGAAGCAAAACGTAAACATTTGTTAGCGCTATCTAAATAGGATAAAACCGGGAAAACACACACCATCAGTTTTTCTCTGTATCCAAATGTGTTATTTATCAATATAACAGTATTTGTATATTAAATTGATATTACACCGTATACCAGGCTGGGTATGTGGTGATGGTATTATACTGTATAACAGACTGAGTATGTGATAGAGGTATTACACCGTATACCAGGCTGGGTATGTGGTGATGGTATTATACTGTATAACAGACATAGTATGTGCTAGAGTTATTACACCGTATACCAGGCTTGGTATATGATGATGGTATTATACTGTATAACAGAAGTCATGATGGTGTTATTACACTGTATAGCAGTCTGATGACATGATGGTGTTGTTACACTGTATAGCAGTCTGATGACATAATGGTGTTATTACACTGTATAGCAGTCTTAGAACACGATGGTGTTATTACACTGTAAAGCAGTCTGAGGACATGATGGTGTTGTTACACTGAATAGCAGTCTGAAGAATGATGGTGTTATAACACTGTATAGCAGTCTTAGAACATGATGGTGTTATTACACTGTATAGCAGTCTGAGGACATGATGGTCTTATACCACTGTATAGCAGTCTGAGGACATAATGGTGTTATTACACTGTATAGCAGTCTGATGACATGATGGTGTTGTTACACTGCATAGCAGTCTGATGACATAATGGTGTTATTACACTGTATAGCAGTCTGACGACATGATGGTGTTATTACACTGTGTAGCAGTCTGAGAACATGATGGTGTTGTTACACTGTAAAGCAGTCTGAGGACATGATGTTGTTATTACACTGTGTAGCAGTCTGAGGACATGATGGTGTTGTTACACTGAATAGCAGTCTGAAGAATGATGGTGTTATAACACTGTATAGCAGTCTTAGAACATGATGGTGTTATTACACTGTATAGCAGTCTGAGGACATGATGGTGTTGTTACACTGTATAGCAGTCGGAAGACATGATGGTGTTGTTACACTGTATAGCAGTCTGAAGAATGATGGTGTTATAACACTGTATAGCAGTCTGAGAACATGATGGTGTTATTACACTGTATAGCAGTCTGAGGACCTAATGGTGTTATTACACTGTATAGCAGTCTGAGGACATGATGGTGTTATTACACTGTATAGCAGTCCGAGGACATGATGGTGTTAGTACACTGTATAGCAGTCTGAAGACATAATGGTGTTATTACACTGTATAGCAGTCTGAGGACATGAAGGTGTTGTTACACTGTATAGCAGTCTGATGACACGATTGTGTTATTACACTGTATAGCAGTCTGAATACATGATGGTGTTATTACACTGTATATCAGTCTGAGGACACGATGGTGTTATTACGATGTATAGCAGTCTGAGGACATGATGGTGTTAGTTCACTGTATAGCAGTCTGATGACACGGTGGTGTTATTACACTGTATAGCAGTCTGAGGACATGATGGTGTTGTTACATTGTATAGCAGTCTGAGGACATGATGGTTTTATTACACTGTATAGCAGTCCGAGGACATGATGGTGTTAGTACACTGTATAGCGGTATAGCAACTGACAGTCTATTACCACCTGCCAATATTTGCCATTATAACAATTACCGAATTATTTTCTGTATAAAAAATATTTGTATTTATGGACCCCACGTTTATTTATTTTTTCTCCTCCCTCGGAGGTCGCCGCACTCCCTCACAAGTCGTGTCTTTTCGCCTCTGAGGTCGTGTTGTCCTTCAGAGGTCCTGTCTGCCCCTTGGATATCGTGTATCATATTCGCGGTCTCTCCCCCGGAGGTCATGTTTATCCTTTGTCGGTTTTGTCTCTCTCTCTCTTGACAGTCAAATCTCTCTCTTGGTCGTCATGGGAACCCCTTGAGGGTCGTGTCTCTCCCTCGGAAATCTTGTCTCAACCACGGTAGTCGACACAGATGAGAGAAGGAACTTAGTTTTTTGCTTACTCATATATTTTTTTTACCTTGCATAAGAAATGTTTGAACAAGTAAATGCATTTATATACAATATTCCACATTCCACGTCAGGTTATGTTTTAATCTGTTAGTTACAAGGACACATTTTGTTTTTGTGTTCATGTTATCTGGAACCCAATAATACATTTACAATAAAAATCTATAATCTTATAACGATTACGCAGCTTGGAGTAATGCAGTTCAAACTAGACATAATTTGTTGACATCTGTTCAAGAAAAATTCAGTCATTCTAGATTCAAGCTTTCAGGATTAGTCCTGAATCAGAAAATAGATGGTCTTCATCTCTATGCCATATCCATACTCTATGTCCTGGTGATTTGGTTAGCCTTCGTTTTGTTGAACATAGTGATATGCATTTACATTTTATGTTCAATAGATGTTCAAACGTGAACCCTAAGCACACTCAACGAATTTTAATTTCGTTAGATACATGTACTCATTACACTGTTGAATGTTCTATTTTGAGTTAAAACTGATAAGTAGTTAATGGTATGTTAGTATTTAGGCACTACAACTTACGTGCTCATGCGTCACGTGCAGGAATGTTGGCAGGCACGAGTAAGTCACGTGTCCTTTCCGTGCTATTACGTGTAAAAGTAGAAAAAGTGGTTTTCATACTTGTTCTGTTTAAGTCACTCCCTTTTCTGTTATGTACAAACAAGGTATTGTAGTTGAAGGCTAGAAACACTATAGGATTCGCCATACTGTTTAACGGCGCCAATGGAAACAAGATGAACGTTGTGCAGGTAAAATCCACTACTTCATACACCATCAACAGAAAATTGATGGTATGCGGACTCCAACTGATCAGAAACACTGTAAATACACAAAGGAAGGCTGAACACATGACGAAACACCGAAAAAATAAACAGAGTAGTATAAATTGATTTTAAAGTCATGACCTTGCCAAACAGATTGCTAAGATAGCAATCAAATCGATTTTACTTTTTCCTGAAATAGCTAACGAATATTGTATTCTTACCTGAAACGACGGCAAACATGACTTTTGTACTTCGTATTTTAGCTCGTCTCACCACGTCTGTACGTTTACCGTCCGTTTTACCATTCCCTGTAATATACATAGTACTATACAAAGAATACTATATCAATATGTCTACCTTGCTGAAATACACAGCGTAAATATATAGCCAAATTTTATATAATACGGGTTTGTTCGTCTCTGTTACATACATAAATATTTTTAATGTGTGGCTTATATTTCTGTAAGGCGAATCAGATTCCTCCTTATTTAGTATCTGAAAGATTTATGGCATTACTATAAAGTGTATTCATTAAGGCGAAATCTATAAAAAAAATAAAAATGTCCTGGATTAAGTGTGGCTGTGTTTAGAGCGTTTACCATGAAGCACATGTTTAGCAATGAACACGCCCACGCTTAGTCCGAATTATTCTGACGTTTTATCGTCTTATTTTTATCGGTCTGTCGTCGATTAACGTCAGAACTCCAGCCCTCTATAATATGCCGGAAATAAGCAACCCGCGCCCGGGTCGTACTTCAAATTGATATTTTAGAAACAAATCGTCACTTTCACACCCATGTCGTACATGTATCGAGAGATCTATTCTTTATGCGCTAGGTGGGCATCAATAACATGTTTCAAAGATCATTACGAACAGTATTTTCCAACGTTTCCTGTACCAACCCATGGTTTTAATGCTAATTAGGACATGAGCAATGTCACGTGACTTGACGAGATCTCACGTTGCCGACGGTATTTCCCAACGTTATGACGTAGGCCGGCGATATTTTAGTCACGTAGTATTAGAAGGCGGGGCTATCAAAAAAGGCATGCAATTTATGTTCATGTTGTGCATAAAGAATAGATCTTTCGATCCATGTGCGACATGTGTGTGAAAGTGACGATTTGTTTCTAAAATATCAGTTTGAAGTGCGACCCGGGCGCGGGTCGCTTATAACCCGCATTTTATAGAGGGCCAGAGTTCTGAGGTTAATCGACGACAGACCGATATAAAAAAAATCGATAAAACGTCAGAATAATTCGGAATAGCCCACGCTGAACCGTATTGGACAAGTGAAGAACATCATGCTTTTGGGTATCTGGCACTTGGCAATTCCTATGTTAATTTTTGGATGATGATGGATTATGGCAATGATGATGATTGAATAATTAAAATGTATATATGAAAGAGGATGATGACGATGATAAAGATGAATGATGATGATGATGATATGTTGATGATGATTTTATGATGACAATGAAATTGATTGTGATAATGCTAAATCCATATCCGTGTGTGTATATGTGAGAATGCGTGAATGTCCTGTTTATGTATATTTATATGTAATGAAAACCTTGGAAAAATAAAAACCATTACAAAAAAAAAAAAAAAAAANATTAAAGGTTATTGCCGCTTCAAATGGAACAACACATGCATAGAAATAAATTATTGGTAATTAAGTACTTGCTATAAAACTTCACAAAAGTACAAAAATAGAAATACTCTTACGTAGAAAAATCTAAAAGATTTACAACATTGTACATGCATGAATTAGAAATTAAACGACACTGATAACATTAAATATACATGCTACAACGAAAGAAATGTTAATAATGCATAACGATAATGATGGGTGACTTGGTTCAGTTATTCGAGTCATGCACAGGTACGATACTATGATATTGTTTGTAGTTAATTTTATGAAAAGCACAAGCATCAAAGCTGTATGTTTTTGTGAGCCGGTTTTTAACTCTTCGCAATGGTAATCATAACGCCGCAAAATAAAATGAAACAAATCACAAGGGTTGTTATGTTGCAGCAGATCAACAAACAAGGGAATGCTGAAATGAAAGAATTGTACACAGAGTTGTGAGGTGTGATGAGACCTGACGTTCCAGGGGGGGGGGGGGGGGGGGGGGGGGGGTAAGTACATTTTCTGCTTCATCGTTGACACCGGCCATGTAAAACTAGGTCAAGTCCTAGTAATGTGACGTCCTCAAATATAGAACCGGGATAGTGATAACAACACAACGATATTATTTTCGCATTAGGAAATCAAATATTAATTCGTGTGACCATGAAAGCTAAAATAAAACTTGTCCATAGTTTTTTTCAAGTTTCATCTCTAGAAATCTTGGTTTTTTAATAAACAACTTAAATCTTATTTATTTATCTATAACAGAGACAGTTCTACATTGCTGGACGTTTTTGGTACATATGTCTTACATTGTATTGTTCATTTACTACTTCGGAGAGATTTTCTTCCCGAGGGATTTTAGTAGACGTTGTAGAAGTTGTATGGTCGCCATTTTGACCTGAGGAATCGGTATATATCTGGATTAAAGATTTGACTAGTATATTTAAATCGTAGGTGGCGTGTATATTCAATTGGACGGGATATACTATCTCAAATAACAAATGTGGCATAAAAAAACGCTCTGATTTATTTCTACCACAATACGCTGTCTTATTCCACTTTCTGATCATTGCATAAGCACGCAGACTGTTAGATAAATATGAGTTACATACCACACGTGGTATATGACCTTCAAGAGTTTTGATTGGTGGAGAAGATGAACTTTGACCGGGACGACTCTTTCCACGCGCTTTTTGCCACATGCTGTTTTGTTTACGTCGTCTGCTGTCAACATCCAACAAACGTTGGTGACTTTGTGAAGTTATACGGAAAAGGGGGTTATTAAGGCAATATTTGAAAAAATGATCGCTAGTTTCAGGCAAAATTGCTACAGACGCTCGATATCGTTTCGACGTCACACCGTCGCGTGTCCAGGTCGTGAAACCAAAACAAGATCTTTAACAGTGTCGGGAAATATTTCCTTCCGCCAACGTCCCGTTATCCGTATTTGGACGGTCTGACTATGGCTAAACTTTCACTATAAACGTCAACCATAGAACCGTCACGAAGAAACGTATGCCTATGGTTTTGGACATTGACAGCGATAAGTTCGTCTTTATCACTTGGCGGGAGGCAGACTTTGTACGATATGCGTACGCGCATATAGCCCGGGGTTAATTTATATAAATTAATGCAATACTGCTACTCTCAATATTTAAAGTCGTTCCTCTATTATATCTTTTCATGCAGTTGTTGCCGAAACATTAATTTTGAATATTAATGAGTTACTTTTTACATATGGGTCATATCACT